TGCAGAAAATGACTTAATTCAGTTTAAGACAAAGGGGATCCATGAAAAGATGTCAGGCAGCCCTCAATGCTTGAGGGCCACAGAGTTAGGTCCAGAGGCTGAGCAGGCAGAACAAGGCCCAGACCCTGCTGGGTTTTTCCTGCCACCAGCAGTGCTCAGGTCTGGAGGCCCTAGGGGCCCCTCCTGGTGCCCCTAAAGCCAGAACCTTCTGCTACCTCCTTTACTAAAGGATGGTTTTTGCAAAGTGCGCATGTCCTCAGTTCACTGGCTTCAAAGTCTCTTGCAGGCGTTTCTGGTCACATGACCATCGCTCTCCACTGCTGGGGGACACGGATGATGGATGGGGCTGGGAGGCTGCCTATCTAGCACAGCAGGGCATTGGGCATATGGCTAACAGTCATAAACATCAAAGGAGGTAAATCTGCAGAAGGAAGAAGCAGATGGCTTTTGTAAGGTGCAGAGTACCTCCTCTGCTGCCCGGCTCTGGGGATGCAGACCTGGGAAAGTGGGCACTTAGCAGAGCTCGGAAGGAGGACACTCTCACTTAAGATGAGGATGGAGGTATTTCTAGAAAAATCACTAAAGCACTGTATCTGGAAATGTCTTGGCAACCGAATACATTTGAAAACATATTTGAAAAGCAGGAGGATTATACTATATGCCGTATTTTCTTGACAAGATATATCATTACATTTCATAATGGCAGTTTGGGAACAAGAAAGGAGCAGTACATCCATTCAGTGCACACACCGTAAGGTCCATCGGGGTAGGATGCTGCACGTGAGGGGGTGCGTGTCTCAGAACTGAGGACATTTGGTGATAGTGGCTGTAGGTTACAACATTAAAGGAGCTCGTCTGCTGATAGTCAGGGGCAAGGAAAAAGGTCTGGAAGAGTGTGAAGGGTGTGAGGCCTCCAGGGGTGGGCTGAAGGCTAAGCGGGTGGATTCCAAGGCCTTAACGGGAGGCTGTGGCTGGTCATTCAGAGGGAAGCAAGTAAAAACCATCAGGGGAGGAAATTGGGTGTTAGGAGTTGTACACCATGGCCAGGGTCAGGGGACAAGAACTCAGGCCACACGGGGGGCTGTAATTTTGGATCAGTCTCCGTGTGGGACACCTTCTGCACTAATGTCTGGAAGGCGTATTTTAGCTCCTAATGGAGCCATGCAATGGCAAGGCAGGTGGGCAGGAAGCAGAGAGAGAGAGGTGAGGTAAGATTGGACACACCAGCTCTGCCACTTCCACTCATTCACTCATTCATTGACTCATTCACACTCACACTCACACTCTTACACACTCACACACACACTCATTCATCCTGTGTCCAAGCATTGCACTCAGTACTAGGGATGCGGGACGAAAAACCGTTCTATGTTTAGAATACTCTTGATGTGGTCGCTTGAAGAGTATAGTTCAGTAAGAAATCGTGTGTGAACAGACGTCACAAAACTGCAGATGTAGAGAAGCCTAAGTAAAGCCCTGGGGGTGGGCCGTTTCTAAGTGTCAGCTGCAGAGGGGCCAGTGGGTGGCAGGCAGGTGCCTCCTGCACTGGCCAGGCTGGGAGCTGCCTTGGGCGGCAGCCCGGAAGACAAGGGAGGGAATGTGCTGTCTTACCCCAAACACCATCTCTGGCTTCGAAGAGGAATTCACCTGATGGGCTATTTCTAGGAAAAATTCAGGTCTTTCCCTGATGCTGTCATCAGATCTTTGGGTACATATTTTGAAACTGAGTGTAAAACAGTGGCAAAAACCACAGTATCCGGAATTAGGTGTTAAGACACCAAGAAACAGACATGGGCCCCAAACTGAATGAAGTGGTCTTTGAAAGCTGTTGATTTTTAGAGGAAATAATTCTCTAGCTGGAGATAATGGCACGCTGGGTTTACTTGAAATGTAAGACAAAATGTAAATATGGGTAATTCCTATGTACTGAATGTTAGCTTAAGACTGCCCGTGTCCTGTGGGGTTGAGGGACAATCTGCGGCAGCGGCAAGAAGCGCAGCGACCCCAGGCGGCGCCTCGGCAGGTCTGCGCCCAGGGAGCAGGGTGGCCCTGCTAGGCGGCCTCCCCCGCGGGTGGCCGGCCCTGCATGCTCCCCACTGCGCCGCCTGCCCAGGCACGTGGCCCCGGAGCCGAGCCGCCTCCCCTCCCAGCGCTCCCCTGCGGGGCGCCCCTTGGCGGCCGGACTGGCCGGACCACGGAGGAGATGCTGGGCCCCCGAGCTGCTTAGCTCGCCTGTTCAGAGCTGGACTCGGGCGCGTCTGCAGCCCTCACGTCCAGCCCAGACACCCAGGAGGGGCTTGCTTGGAGACTAACAGGAAAGCATGCCCCTCAGATTGAGGTCCGCCGGCCTGTCTGAGCTCTTGAGCCCTGACAGTTGGGCAGGGGATGCGCTGTGACAGCGGCCAAAGCGGTTCCGCCGCGAGAGGCCGAGGGGCCTGGTAGAGGCTGTCGCGGACTGTGTGCAGCCCCAGGACGTTCCTGGGGTACACGCTGCACCCACAGTGCCATCCTCCTCACCAGCTGTGCCGAGGAGCCAGGGCTCCTGTATCAAATGAAGACTATAGATTATGTCCTGCTAAACAGTGGGGTACAGGCCACCCACGGGTGAGCAGGGGGCCCCCTTGGCATCCAGCTTCCACTGCGGGTGCGAAGCCCATGCGGTCATTTGGATTGAGGGTGCAGTTTCAACACTGCTGCACAAAGGAAGCAGAGGCACAGGTTCTTCCTCGGGGACCCCAGAAGCGGGGGGCAGTGAGCCGGGGAGGGGCGTCCTGTCCCGGTGAGAGCCGGGGTGCGAGCACCGTATCTGTAAGGGCTTTGGGGCAGAGGGGCTTAACTCTAAGGTTATTTTACAAGGTACTCTGGGAAAAGCAAAAGCAGAGGGAACTTTATGGCGGGAATCCTGAACTCAAGTCTTATCTATGTGTCCAAACTCTGGGTTGGGCCTGGTTATCTGGTAAAACGCCTTGGCAGCAACGCAGAAAAATGAAGTTATTTTTCTCATCACACACCCCCTCCCTTGGCCCATAATCCTTCCTCCCCTCTGCCTCTCTGATCACTTATTTACTGTACCCTGTGGCAGTGCCTGTCCTGGAAGCCTGTCCCTGTGCCCTCCACCTGTACTGCCTACCCGCCTTGCCCCCCAACAGTGGTGTTGGTATTACCGTCGGTTGACTGACCCACTGGGTCGTCACTGGTTTCAGCCAGTGAATCAGTTTCATAGCAAAGAGCAGTAAGCGTGTGGGAAGTGTCGAGGGGCCCTGAGGGTGGAAGGGTGGGAGGCAGTCACTTTGGGGATCTGGGCAGCAGAGATAGTAAGTGGTGGACATGGGAGGCCCTGTTCATTGAGGAGAGAGGAGGCCTGCCTCTCCATCTGCCAGCACATGTGTGTTTTAGGTGAAAATTAAACTGCAAATGATGCTGGAGGAAACTGCTGACAGTGATGATTACAGCTGTTGAAGCAGTACAGCTGGAAAAAAGGCAAAAAATCTGGTTGAACAGTGCATGAAGAATACCAACTTTAGTTACTTATGCAAACTGATTATTAGTTAGACTAATTACTCTCTTTTTAGCAGTCATGCATAAAACTAATGCATCAGATTCATCTGTGTGCTTTATTTGATCACAGTGCTGGGCCTGTGTTTATCAGCTGAGCCATGACAGTCCACTTTGGTCAACCTTACATTTGACTTATTATCCTTTCTCTGCAGGTTCGTGGGGTACTCCTTCCTTTAGGTAAATCTGACCTTCCCAACATGAGCTACTTTGCATATCTTGTTCCACTAAAGAGTGGGTATTCGGCTCTGAAAGGCCACAGACATCGTCAGGGGAACAGGCGGGCGCTAGAAGATGGCAGAGTTTTTTCCTATCTTACTCAGAAGCATGGGCATTTACATTTTACGAGACTCTGCTCAGTGCTTAGTGGAAGCTATGGATCTTCCTGCCTAGTTAGGATGAAGGGGGGTGGGAGGAGAGGTGGCTGAGAAGCCTTACAGAGGGCAGAACAGCAGGGAGGGAAAGCTCTCCTTGGGGCAGTAGCTGAGTGATCTCCCTGTGGGGTCATGGCCGCGGGGGCTCAGAAGACTGAAATGGGAGACGTCTAAACATGTGTTGGTTTGTATTTTACAGGATAAGGTTAGAAAGAACTAGTTCTACTACATTTTGGTTCTGTTTTTGAATGATTAGTGGGAATGGGTTTCCATCCAAGTCATTCCTATTTCAGCGGTATATATTAGAAAAACTATTAGCAAAACAGCTCCAAGTAATATCATGTATTTGTTAATTGGAAGAGTGAGCGCCTGGCAGACCAGGGACACCTCACAAGTCCATATGTTTTCAGTTTTGCAAATCAAGGGGATACATAGTAGGTACTCAAAATAAAGTTGTTGAGTTGTGTTTGCAAATTTTCCTAAGAAATGTTGCTGAAGTTGAGGACAGAAGTAGTGCTAACATTTATTGAGAGTGTACCTTTGCCTTATTTCATCTAGCGAATACAGCTGTGTTGGGAGTTAGATATCCCCATTCCCATTTACAGGTAAGGAAACTGAGGCCCAGAAATGTTAAATAATTTCCCTAATACACAGAAGCTGGGATTGAATTCCCAATCTGTCTGCGTAATTAACTCTTACATATTGTGTTCTCATGTCCTCTATGTTGACTATGTTGAAATTTAAAACAGTTCTGACTTACCTAGTTGTTAAATTGCAATAATAAACTGTTGTAATAACATGCAGATGTTTCCCACAGAATATGAAAATATTCACTATATTACTCAAAGCAAAAAGTTTAAACACTTGGGTTTTCTTTGGCTGATTTACCAAAGATAATAGGGTGACCATATAATTTATCATCCAAACTAAAACTGAAAGGGGTGACATTAACAGTTATATGGGGCTAATAGGAATGAACCATACCATCATGGCAGCAAATTTATGCGACATCCTACTGATTGTTGTCTTACTTCATTTTAAACCAAATCTTTGCATTTTTTTACCTTCTAGGCGGATTCTTCAATGTCAATGTAAGTGAAATTAGTTTTGATGAAATTCATCAACTCTTCTCCAAGGATTTAGATATTGAGCCAGGAGGTCACTGGAGGCCTAAGGACTGTAAACCCAGATGGAAGGTGAGGTCACGTTTTGAAACGTTACGTGATTATTGCTGTGCATTTGAGGGAAAGCGTGCGTGACTCAGAAACATGGTGAAATATGTGGAGACTGTCACTGCGCCCAGCATATGCAGAATACATGCTCATGTGTTCAGACTCCTGGAGGCTCTGGAGTAAATTCCTCACTGGAGTGTGGCTCAGAAAGCAGGGTTTTTTCCCCTGTTGTATTCTGTCTGGAGAGAGGCTGTGATTTCTCTGCCTCCTGTAGCCATCCATAATGATTACTGACACCTGCAGGCGTCTGGGGCCTGGAACCAGTGATTTCCCCCTGGGTCTGGTAAGGGGCTCCTCATGGCCCCAGAATTCTAAAGTGGCTGCTCAGAGGTCACTGTGGGACATGGAAAGGAGAATTTTGCACTCTTCACCTATGTTTCAGAAGGCAGAACACCAGCTTTTTAAATCTTTTTGACATGTCAGAATTCAAATTAATGCTTTGTTTGAAAAGCTATAAACTAGAACTTGCTTCTGCTGCTTAAAAAATGGGTTAGGGTTGCTTTCAGTACTGTGACACTGGTTAATGAGTGTGCATTCATAATATGCTGTTATGTCTGAGTAGGAAAGAGCAGTTATGAAGTTCATGTGAAAATAGCATATGATAAAATCAAATGTTACATCCTGAAGGATTTTGATGTAGCCTTAATCTGGAAATGGTGTTCAGTTCCTCTTTTAAGAATTAGTATTTTACTAAGATACTTGTTTTTTGGTACCCCCCCAAAAGAATCCCTTCTGGGAAGGAGAATTACATGCTATTAAGCTTATGATAAGAGCCCGCTGACTTAGCTGGCCTTGAGCCATTTGTGTTGGGAAATGTGTGTTACTGCGATCTGCGTCCATAATGCAGAATGGAGTGTCTAGCAGGAGGTAAGCACCAACTCCAGTTTTGTTGAAGGAGTTTATGAGACAAATAAATAACCTTGTTACAGATTATTAAGTAAATTTTTTTCTCCTCAGACAAGTTGTAAAGCTGCTTAAATGGATCCCAGTACAAATTTTGGCAAAGCTTCTATTTCACAGTTGTCTTGTCTATTTCCAAGGTCAGATTCAGTTAAATGAATCCTTCCATTGATTTTCCTCCCCTTTATATGTAAAATATGGCCCAATTTACTTAATCCCACTCTTTAATGATGTCCTGGGCAAATAAATTATTTTTCTTACTTGGGTGATGAATAAGTATGTTGAACGCTAATGGAAGAGAAAGCATATTCAGTTAACTACCAAGGCCGTGGGGGTAGCATGGAGGTGGGTGCTTGGACTTGTATCCATGTGGGGTACCACATACCCCTCAGATGTGTGCTGTGTGGCGTAGTGGTGGAGTGATGTCAGATTGGAAGAATTAACCCTTGTCCTTTCTTCAGTGGTTTGCATCAGATGTTAGATCTAAGATGTTGTGGTGTGCTTTCTTCTCATTTTGCAGGAGAGGTGTATCCTGCATGAGCAGTTCCACCTTAGAGATTTTAGTTAGGCTCTAACCTCCCTGTGAATCAGTAGTTGGAAGTCTTGAGTGTTCCCCTTAGAACAGGCTCATTCAGAGACCTAAAGGTCAGCTCGTTTTGTAGGAACGGGGTGGTGATGTGGCTCTTGCTTCAGCTCTGCACAAACCTTCTCAGAATAGGTTCTAGTTCTGAGCCCTGCAGCTAAAAGTATGAGATGAATTTGAGAATCATTTGGGTGACCTGTATGTACCATATTTAATTATTTAATTCCTCCGCTACCCAGCCTGCTTGCATTCCAGTAATGTCCCGTTTTAGTCTTGGAACAGAGCTGAGAGAGAAGGAAAGAAGAGATAACTGGACTTTCATTAACTATAGGCCACCAAATTGCTTTTAATATTTGGGGTCTTTTGCTTTAGAAAAAGCAATGAGTTCATTGACAGCCAATTATTTGGAACTGAGATCTAAGACCGGTGATATCAGCAATCCCTAGTTACTTTGGACACTGCAGGCTCAAGGGGGAGATCCAGCAAGGTAGGATGCCTTACAGGGGCAAGCTTATTTCTGAAAGGGAGGCTGGAAAAGGTGAATGGCGAATGGCAATGCTTTCCAGGTCCCTAAAAGCGAAGTGCTCACCTGTGGCGTTGTCTGTCCACTCAGGGTTTGGGGGGAGGCCTGTACCGCTTCAGTCTAAAGGCGTAAGGAATGAGGCAGCTGCTTGATGTGGTTATCTGCTCAGCAACCTGAACTTCTAGTCCTGGTCCAAGTTGCTCAGACAGGTCTTAGCCACGTGCTTCAGAACTACCTGGGGTGTTTGGTAAAGATGAAAATTCTTGAACTCAGTCCTCAGATATTCGGGTTCTGTTGGTGGGAAGGGACGATAGCCTGCATTTTGTGTGAAGTGCCTCCTGTCGGCCCTGGGACTGAGGAGGAGGAAGAGGGACCAGGGCGTGCTGCAGGGGAGTGAGAGCTGGGTAGCTGTGTGTCAGGCAGAGGGCAAGCACACCCTGATGGGAGGTTAGCTTGAAGCATGTCACTTAGGGACGCGGGCTGCAGGTGGGCCCAGAACTTGGCAGGGGAAGTTTATGTAGTGAACAGTTTTCTTGCTAATCTCCTCTTGGTGAGTATGGGAGTAAATAAGCAAGGGAGAAAAATAGGTTCATAAATTCAGTAAGATTCATCGTTTTAAAGTGTGAGCAACCTGAATGGGATGACTTTGCTTGTATGAGAGGTAGTGAGGAGGGATTGATGAAGTGTTTTTTTAATAGGAGAGCAGCTCCATCAGCAAATGCGGGCCATGTCAGAAAGAATGTCCTTAAACAAAATGAATTATCACAGAATTATCACAGAAGACAGATCTTTTTCTAGACAATTAATTGTAAGCTGTTGAGAGTCATTTCACAGCCGTAAGGGGCATGCCAAATGAATTTTTAAGATATGATTTAGCTTAATTTTAGTAAAAACTTTGCTTTAGGCATATTCAAAGTCTTTGATAACTGTCTCATTAAAATGTGGACATTTATTTGCGATTGAAATGAGAGTTTGCTTATTTAAATTTGCCAAAACATTGGTAATTTCTTTCTCTTGTATTCTCAGTTTCCTTGTAAGTTTTAAGAAAAAATAACTCTTGATATTTTAAATGCTTCATTGAAGAAATCACTATGTTCGGGTCTGTGTCTTTGCGTATTCTTATGTTCGAGTCATTGCTCAGTCTAACTGTGTTTATTTTTTATTTTTTATTTTATTTTTTAATTTTTTTTAATTGAAGGGTAGTTGACACACAGTATTACTTTAGTTTCAGGTGTACAACACAGTGATTCAACATTTATGTACGTGATAATTCTAGCTACCAGCTATCACCATACAAAGTTGTTACAATATTTTGACTATATTCCTTATGCTATACATTACATCCTAGTTACTTATTTATTTTACAATTGGAGGTCTGTACTTTTGTTTTGTTTTGTTTTTTTGTTTTGTTTTTTGAGAGGGCATCTCTCATATTTATTGATCAAATGGTTGTTAACAACAATAAAATTCTGTATAGGGGAGTCAATGCTCAATAAACATGTGTTGGTTTGTATTTTACAGGATAAGGTTAGAAAGAACTAGTTCTACTACATTTTGGTTCTGTTTTTGAATGATTAGTGGGAATGGGTTTCCATCCAAGTCATTCCTATTTCAGCGGTATATATTAGAAAAACTATTAGCAAAACAGCTCCAAGTAATATCATGTATTTGTTAATTGGAAGAGTGAGCGCCTGGCAGACCAGGGACACCTCACAAGTCCATATGTTTTCAGTTTTGCAAATCAAGGGGATACATAGTAGGTACTCAAAATAAATTTGTTGAGTTGTGTTTGCAAATTTTCCTAAGAAATGTTGCTGAAGTTGAGGACAGAAGTAGTGCTAACATTTATTGAGAGTGTACCTTTGCCTTATTTCATCTAGCGAATACAGCTGTGTTGGGAGTTAGATATCCCCATTCCCATTTACAGGTAAGGAAACTGAGGCCCAGAAATGTTAAATAATTTCCCTAATACACAGAAGCTGGGATTGAATTCCCAATCTGTCTGCGTAATTAACTCTTACATATTGTGTTCTCATGTCCTCTATGTTGACTATGTTGAAATTTAAAACAGTTCTGACTTACCTAGTTGTTAAATTGCAATAATAAACTGTTGTAATAACATGCAGATGTTTCCCACAGAATATGAAAATATTCACTATATTACTCAAAGCAAAAAGTTTAAACACTTGGGTTTTCTTTGGCTGATTTACCAAAGATAATAGGGTGACCATATAATTTATCATCCAAACTAAAACTGAAAGGGGTGACATTAACAGTTATATGGGGCTAATAGGAATGAACCATACCATCATGGCAGCAAATTTATGCGACATCCTACTGATTGTTGTCTTACTTCATTTTAAACCAAATCTTTGCATTTTTTTACCTTCTAGGCGGATTCTTCAATGTCAATGTAAGTGAAATTAGTTTTGATGAAATTCATCAACTCTTCTCCAAGGATTTAGATATTGAGCCAGGAGGTCACTGGAGGCCTAAGGACTGTAAACCCAGATGGAAGGTGAGGTCACGTTTTGAAACGTTACGTGATTATTGCTGTGCATTTGAGGGAAAGCGTGCGTGACTCAGAAACATGGTGAAATATGTGGAGACTGTCACTGCGCCCAGCATATGCAGAATACATGCTCATGTGTTCAGACTCCTGGAGGCTCTGGAGTAAATTCCTCACTGGAGTGTGGCTCAGAAAGCAGGGTTTTTTCCCCTGTTGTATTCTGTCTGGAGAGAGGCTGTGATTTCTCTGCCTCCTGTAGCCATCCATAATGATTACTGACACCTGCAGGCGTCTGGGGCCTGGAACCAGTGATTTCCCCCTGGGTCTGGTAAGGGGCTCCTCATGGCCCCAGAATTCTAAAGTGGCTGCTCAGAGGTCACTGTGGGACATGGAAAGGAGAATTTTGCACTCTTCACCTATGTTTCAGAAGGCAGAACACCAGCTTTTTAAATCTTTTTGACATGTCAGAATTCAAATTAATGCTTTGTTTGAAAAGCTATAAACTAGAACTTGCTTCTGCTGCTTAAAAAATGGGTTAGGGTTGCTTTCAGTACTGTGACACTGGTTAATGAGTGTGCATTCATAATATGCTGTTATGTCTGAGTAGGAAAGAGCAGTTATGAAGTTCATGTGAAAATAGCATATGATAAAATCAAATGTTACATCCTGAAGGATTTTGATGTAGCCTTAATCTGGAAATGGTGTTCAGTTCCTCTTTTAAGAATTAGTATTTTACTAAGATACTTGTTTTTTGGTACCCCCCCAAAAGAATCCCTTCTGGGAAGGAGAATTACATGCTATTAAGCTTATGATAAGAGCCCGCTGACTTAGCTGGCCTTGAGCCATTTGTGTTGGGAAATGTGTGTTACTGCGATCTGCGTCCATAATGCAGAATGGAGTGTCTAGCAGGAGGTAAGCACCAACTCCAGTTTTGTTGAAGGAGTTTATGAGACAAATAAATAACCTTGTTACAGATTATTAAGTAAATTTTTTTCTCCTCAGACAAGTTGTAAAGCTGCTTAAATGGATCCCAGTACAAATTTTGGCAAAGCTTCTATTTCACAGTTGTCTTGTCTATTTCCAAGGTCAGATTCAGTTAAATGAATCCTTCCATTGATTTTCCTCCCCTTTATATGTAAAATATGGCCCAATTTACTTAATCCCACTCTTTAATGATGTCCTGGGCAAATAAATTATTTTTCTTACTTGGGTGATGAATAAGTATGTTGAACGCTAATGGAAGAGAAAGCATATTCAGTTAACTACCAAGGCCGTGGGGGTAGCATGGAGGTGGGTGCTTGGACTTGTATCCATGTGGGGTACCACATACCCCTCAGATGTGTGCTGTGTGGCGTAGTGGTGGAGTGATGTCAGATTGGAAGAATTAACCCTTGTCCTTTCTTCAGTGGTTTGCATCAGATGTTAGATCTAAGATGTTGTGGTGTGCTTTCTTCTCATTTTGCAGGAGAGGTGTATCCTGCATGAGCAGTTCCACCTTAGAGATTTTAGTTAGGCTCTAACCTCCCTGTGAATCAGTAGTTGGAAGTCTTGAGTGTTCCCCTTAGAACAGGCTCATTCAGAGACCTAAAGGTCAGCTCGTTTTGTAGGAACGGGGTGGTGATGTGGCTCTTGCTTCAGCTCTGCACAAACCTTCTCAGAATAGGTTCTAGTTCTGAGCCCTGCAGCTAAAAGTATGAGATGAATTTGAGAATCATTTGGGTGACCTGTATGTACCATATTTAATTATTTAATTCCTCCGCTACCCAGCCTGCTTGCATTCCAGTAATGTCCCGTTTTAGTCTTGGAACAGAGCTGAGAGAGAAGGAAAGAAGAGATAACTGGACTTTCATTAACTATAGGCCACCAAATTGCTTTTAATATTTGGGGTCTTTTGCTTTAGAAAAAGCAATGAGTTCATTGACAGCCAATTATTTGGAACTGAGATCTAAGACCGGTGATATCAGCAATCCCTAGTTACTTTGGACACTGCAGGCTCAAGGGGGAGATCCAGCAAGGTAGGATGCCTTACAGGGGCAAGCTTATTTCTGAAAGGGAGGCTGGAAAAGGTGAATGGCGAATGGCAATGCTTTCCAGGTCCCTAAAAGCGAAGTGCTCACCTGTGGCGTTGTCTGTCCACTCAGGGTTTGGGGGGAGGCCTGTACCGCTTCAGTCTAAAGGCGTAAGGAATGAGGCAGCTGCTTGATGTGGTTATCTGCTCAGCAACCTGAACTTCTAGTCCTGGTCCAAGTTGCTCAGACAGGTCTTAGCCACGTGCTTCAGAACTACCTGGGGTGTTTGGTAAAGATGAAAATTCTTGAACTCAGTCCTCAGATATTCGGGTTCTGTTGGTGGGAAGGGACGATAGCCTGCATTTTGTGTGAAGTGCCTCCTGTCGGCCCTGGGACTGAGGAGGAGGAAGAGGGACCAGGGCGTGCTGCAGGGGAGTGAGAGCTGGGTAGCTGTGTGTCAGGCAGAGGGCAAGCACACCCTGATGGGAGGTTAGCTTGAAGCATGTCACTTAGGGACGCGGGCTGCAGGTGGGCCCAGAACTTGGCAGGGGAAGTTTATGTAGTGAACAGTTTTCTTGCTAATCTCCTCTTGGTGAGTATGGGAGTAAATAAGCAAGGGAGAAAAATAGGTTCATAAATTCAGTAAGATTCATCGTTTTAAAGTGTGAGCAACCTGAATGGGATGACTTTGCTTGTATGAGAGGTAGTGAGGAGGGATTGATGAAGTGTTTTTTTAATAGGAGAGCAGCTCCATCAGCAAATGCGGGCCATGTCAGAAAGAATGTCCTTAAACAAAATGAATTATCACAGAATTATCACAGAAGACAGATCTTTTTCTAGACAATTAATTGTAAGCTGTTGAGAGTCATTTCACAGCCGTAAGGGGCATGCCAAATGAATTTTTAAGATATGATTTAGCTTAATTTTAGTAAAAACTTTGCTTTAGGCATATTCAAAGTCTTTGATAACTGTCTCATTAAAATGTGGACATTTATTTGCGATTGAAATGAGAGTTTGCTTATTTAAATTTGCCAAAACATTGGTAATTTCTTTCTCTTGTATTCTCAGTTTCCTTGTAAGTTTTAAGAAAAAATAACTCTTGATATTTTAAATGCTTCATTGAAGAAATCACTATGTTCGGGTCTGTGTCTTTGCGTATTCTTATGTTCGAGTCATTGCTCAGTCTAACTGTGTTTATTTTTTATTTTTTATTTTATTTTTTAATTTTTTTTAATTGAAGGGTAGTTGACACACAGTATTACTTTAGTTTCAGGTGTACAACACAGTGATTCAACATTTATGTACGTGATAATTCTAGCTACCAGCTATCACCATACAAAGTTGTTACAATATTTTGACTATATTCCTTATGCTATACATTACATCCTAGTTACTTATTTATTTTACAATTGGAGGTCTGTACTTTTGTTTTGTTTTGTTTTTTTGTTTTGTTTTTTGAGAGGGCATCTCTCATATTTATTGATCAAATGGTTGTTAACAACAATAAAATTCTGTATAGGGGAGTCAATGCTCAATGCACAATCATTACTCCACTCCAAGCCTAATTTTCATCAGTCTCCAATCTTCTGAAGTATAACGAACAAGTTCTTACATGGAGAACAAATTCTTACATTAACTGTGTTTATTAATATGGACTTTGCAGCTATTTAATAGTGCTTCTCCCCTTAAATATTTATAATTCAACTTCACTGCTCTTAAAGCCCATTTACATAATGTCACAAGTGGCCAGTTTGTGGCCAAATTCAAAACCAGGGAGGGTAAACATGACCCTTATTTTATTGGAAGTTATGGCACTGATAGACCTGAAGGGCGGGCTGGGGATCTGTGCTCACTGTTTCCCTCCTCTCCTTTGCTTTTCGAGCAGTTTCCTGGGCTGTGAGTACACCCAGGGCCCCTGAGCCGCACTGGGACTTGTTTGATTTGGGAATTCTGTGAAGGTGCAGCCATGGCTGCTGGGGCCCAGGAGCAGGTCCCGCGGTGGCCCGGGTGCGGGTGCGGGGGCCCCGCACAGGTGGGGTCAGACTGCTCTGGCTGCCCCGTGCGCCTCAGGTTCACAGCCACGGGGGCTTTGGGCGGCAAACAAAAGGGAATGGAGCCACAGTGAGGCCAGCAGAGGCCCCAGAACTCTGCCCCTACCGCTTACCAAATATAAAACAACGGGGACAGAAAGCGTCGTCCTCCTAGCCATTGTCTCTTTCCTTTCCCACCTCTCATCAGCATTAAGGGAGCTAGCGTGTTATTCCCAGGTTCGGCATCCTCAGTTTTTCTAAACCATCTTCTGTTCTCTCTTTAAATAAAGTTATTTTAATAATTTAAAAATTTCCCTCATGATCCTGGTGATATGAAATACGCAGGTAAATGTTTCTATTTTCTACTGCCAGCATCTAATGTTATATCATGATTTTACAAGTAGGACTAGGTCCTAAACCTACATGTATTCAATACTTTCATTTATTCATTCATGAGTAAAATTTATTTGGAATAGGTGAAAGTTTAATAAATCCAAGATTCAATGTTTTCACATAATTTTGTTACAACCAATTTAGACTGCATTTGAAAATGCAGAATATAGAGTGACATATAAATATTGGAAGTAGAAGTAGATATTTTTGACTGTTGCACTCTTTGAAAATCTAATTATTTTATAATTTATAAGCTATAGAGAAATATTTGTTTAAATTTCAGTTTTTATTAGAAAATTAACAATTCAAATAAAGCCAGCTTAAAGAGCACCATCCTCAGTACGGCCCCCAGAGCCTGTTTGTACGTCCTCAGGTGCACCAGATGGCAAGGGGCACGTGGTTGCATCTGCTCACTGCTGGGTCTCTGGTGAGAAAATTCCAAAGGGTGTAAACATTAAAGCCACCAGAAATTTTTAGGATTAATTTTGATCTGTCCCTCCAAGGCTAGTGGCTGTGTTTATTTACATATGTGGCTGTTTTGTTCTTTAAAGGTGGCCGTTCTCATTCCTTTCCGTAACCGCCACGAGCATCTTCCAATTTTCTTCTTACATCTGATTCCAATGCTCCAGAAACAGAGGCTGGAATTTGCCTTTTATGTCATTGAACAGGTGAGAATATTTCTTTAAATGTTAATTAAGTGGAACTTATAAATTCTTAGATATGGTGTGATTAAAAATTTTTTTATAAGGTTAATCCTTGGCTTTTCTCAAATATAAAGTATTTGGGTAAAATTCCATTTTGAATTGAGCATGTTCTATGTAGTACTTTTGGTAATCCATTTTATCAGTTCACATGTTCCTATTATTTTGAGTCATCCTATGTCTTACCTATTAAAGTGAAATATTTGTCTCTGATTATTCTTTATATTGTCAGCTGATTTTTCTCTGAAAATATTTTCCATATCTCAATATTCCATGTATACAATTTTCAGTCTTATGTGAGTGCTTTGGAGATGTATTTTCCATAGTTATATTTTTTTCCACATCTGTCACTACCGAGTTTTATACTTAAAGTATTGTCTGTGATTTCCTTCTTAGTTTTCCCCTACCCCACCTCCCACCTCCTAGGGTATTTGCTGAATTTATCACTGATTTCTGTGTAGCACTTCTAAAATGGTGCGTTTTGTTCATGTTTCAAATACATTGTAATTTGGGTACTTTTTGGTCTAAACACTGATGACCTCATTTTTTCCTGATAGTTCCTTCTTTTTTACTCACACTGAGCATGACTGAAAGTGTATTTCTCTATTTACCAGTAGACAGTAAGTGACCAGCTTATTGCCTCTGGGTTTTCTTTTTCTTTTTTTGGTAGAAAAATACACAAATTTTATTCCTAAGATAGTTATTTTTAATGTGTTTTCACAGCTCCTCCATGGCTTAGATCTTTTTTTTTTTTTTTTTTTTTTTTTAATTAAAGTCTCTGTCATTTCATTAGTAATAGAATATTTTTACTTTTACTAAACTCTGTAGCAAAAGTAATTTGTCAATTTTTCACTCCTAGCTTTTTGCCTGTATTTTTTCCTCCTGGAAATACTTAGTAGTATTTATTATTACTTAAACTTCTCTGTATGTAATTCCCCCTTTTATGGTTAGTTCCCATGCTTATAATAATGTATATAGGGCATTTATACTTCCTAATGTAACAACTTATTTTATGAAAATTGACTACCTTTTTTTACCTGATAGCAAATCAAAATATTTTAACTACTTTCATGGCAGTCATATAAACTTCCAGGTCAGTTCCCTCTTTTGAAACTTCATGATGTGTTGGGAGATGAGATATCTGCCTCTGTGTTTAAAAGGTGTGTTCTCCTGAGCGTCCAGCACCATTGAATTATTTGTGTATGTGATGAAGAAATCTTTGCAAAGCAGCTAAGATCCGAATTTGATAAACCTGCTAAATCTGAATCTCAGCCTGAATCCATATTAATTCAGGCCCCTATGTTTGATAGTGTGTGGTTTTGAGCTGGTAACATCTTTACCACGTAAAAGAAGGGTCATCCATCTGCTGAACGGGTGCCCAGACGTGCTAAACAATTGAAGAGCAGCTCAGAACTCCTACTCAGATAACAGGAGTTTGTATACATATTTACCTCTTCTCCTTTCCAAACTCCTAAAATGAGTGTGAAAGAAAAGACTTTAAAGTCATTAAGCCACAAGGACAAAAGAGATGGCCATAGTTGAGAGATTTCATCATGCACTTGGAAGTTGGTCAGGAAGCAGCTGGGGCACAGAAATTCCCTTAGCATAGGATTTGAGCACAAACTCACGTGCTTCTGAGGGTGAGCATACCCAGAATGGAGTCCGTTTGCTGGACAGACCCCTGCGAATCTTGGCACTTGAAAGATGTCATGGAAGATGGACTGAAGCACTGGGGGAAAAGGGACTGTTTAAAAGTTGTGACTACAGACAGTCAGATCCCCGGTTCCTCCTCTGTGTGTGTCAGGTGATGGCTGTGTTGTGGAGGAGGAGAGGCTTACCCGCCAGAGAAAGCCCATCAGAGGAGGTCCTGAGTTGCCAGCACAGTGGAGCTGTGGGGCCTCAGAGCAGAGGGGCTGAGCCTGGGCACCTCAGGCTTTTTCCCTGCTGAGCATTTTGAAGCCAGCAGTTAGGTATGAATCTCCCCCAACCCTCTAGCTGAGGCCGAGCAAGAGTGGCATCTTCATTAGAGAAACAGATTAGCCCAGGAGCAAGATATGCCTGATCTAATATTTGGAAGTCCCTAAAGGGCAAGGCTAGTTCATCACTTTATTACCTCCATGAAGCCCACTTTTGTTCATTCATAAAGGGGAGACAGCAGTGAACAGACCAGGTACGGGCCCTCCTGTTCTCTTGAGGAGAGATGGGCAATAAATAGTTGTGTGCTATGTCTGGTGGGACCGGGGCTGAGAGACGTGGCAGACAGAGTGGTAAGGGGAGAGAGACATGCTCTTTTATACACAGTCTCTGGAGGCCTCCTGGGTCGGTGAGGTCAGAGTACCCCTGAATGACTGAGGCACAAGCCGTGCTGATGTCGGGGGATCTGCATTCCAGGCAAGGCAGGACGGTGTGTGTAAAAAGGTCAGTGTCACCAGAGCGATGAGTCGGGGAGGTTGTTAGGGAGGAAATCAGAGGCAGGTCAGAGCAGGTGACAAAGGACCTGCCAGGCCAGGGTGAAGACTTGGATTATCCCACGTGAGGTCGGACGGTGCTGGCGGGTTTTGAAACAAATGATGTGATCTAACTGATGGTTTGAAAAAGCGAGTGTGCGGAGACTGTGTGGACAAGGGCTAAAATGAGAGCAGTTGGAAAACTTTTTCGGAGGTCTGGGCAGGAGGAGGCAGGGTCGGGCTGCTGAGGAGGTGGACAAGGAGAGCAGGGAGGTGGTCTGGGCTACACTGGGTTCAGAAGCGGTGGTGTTTGCTGACTTGGATGTGCACTGTGAGCGCTGGCAGACGGACGACAGTGGCACCAGGGCTTCCGCCTTGAGCAAGGGCGTTGTCACTTTCTGAGCTTTGGACACGCAGAACATGGGGAAGAATGAGGAGGTGTTTGTGTTTTCACTGAGTTTGCTTTGGGAATTTGCTTGTGCGCGTGTGCGCCGGGTGTATGTCGGGTGTACGTGTATGGACCAAGAGAGGTATTCTGCATGATCCTCGTGTACATATGTGGAGGTTCGGCCCAGCTTTTTAGAGCCTTATTCTCAAGCATGCTCTGGTCTCCTCCTCAAGTGAACAGGGTTGCCTTGTGTGGTCAGCTAGCCTGTGGGGTGGCAGAGTGTGGCTTCTGAGGCTTGGCGATGAGACGTGGCTGCTTCTGCTTCGGTCTCTCAGATCTACCTCCCCAGGAAGCCGCCTGCATGTCACAAGGACCCTCAGGCAACCCTTCGGGGAGGCACCGGCTTGCCAGCATCATCTTGCTAACTGTGTAAGCCCCCTTGGGAGTGGGCTGCCAGTGAGGCCATACATGGAGGAGCAGAGATGTGCGCTCGGATCTCGTAACCCAGATGCTGTGAACATAAGTGACTGTTGGTGTTTTAGCCACCAAGTTTTTACTGTGATTTGTTACAAGTCAGTAGATAATTAATATACTTACTAATCAAAAGTCTAGAAAAATACAGCAGACAAAATCGGGGGCTTGTAGGAGTGGGAAAAAAATGACCAAATAAGAAAACTGCCCAGAAACAAAGACATGAGTCTTCAGATTAAAGGGCCTGTGTGTGCTCATGAATAAAATACAAATCTGCTATGAAGCATAATATTTTGAAATTTTAGAATACAAAGTTTAAAAAGTTATCAAAGAAACTGTAGGAAAATTACCAGTGGTTACGTATCAGAATCGTATGAACCTTCTCAGCAATGCTGATAGCTAGAAAATTGTGGTGCACACCTTTAAAATTCTAGGGGAAAGTGATTTTTTAACCTAGAATATTTTACCCAGCCAAAAAGTCGATCAAGTGTAAGGGGAGACTATCAGTTTCAATCATTCATTGACTAAAAAATTACCTTTGTATTGTTCCATGGACCTTTACTTAAGGAAGCTGCTTAAGGATGTGCCTGAGCAAATTGCAAGAGCCACATAGGAGATATGGATGAGGTGGGGAGAGAGAGAACTTCCAGGTGGCAGTCGGACCCGGTCAGACCAGGCCAGACTGGAGCAAGAATCAAGGGCAGTAGGAGCTGGTGCTGGGCTTGGTGGGTGGAGAAGGAATTGAAAGATGACTTGGTGTGTTTGATTAATAAGAATGTTAATTAGTAGAGGGCATCTCTATTGGGGCTTCTGTACAAAGGAATAAATAGTCATATGGAAAACTAAGGAAACAGAAGACATCTCAGTTTTCACTCAGCACTCAAGAAATAGTCATGCAGTCCTAATAATGCAAACACTGCCTGATACACCAAAAGATGTGACTGGGAGAATGGGTGGAGAGGCAATGGGTGTGGTAGTGTAAGTGCTTAATGACTGTGATAAGAAGCCAGTAGACAATGTCTAAAGTTAATGAGGCTGGAAATGCTGGAGCTAAGTACCAGAATAAACCTCTGGAAGAGCTAAAACATATCACTCTTGGAGGAAGAAGATGGGTCTGACATAGAGTTGCTTCTTTTTATTATAAGCCATGAAGTATGATGTCCACATGAGTAAAAACAATTTTTTAAAACCTCAAAGAAGGTGATGGCGATGTACCAGCAATGACATTATAATTTAGCTCCCTGTCCCTTTTATTCTCCCCATTTCATGGGTGAAGAATGAAGCTGTAAAAAGCGATTTCTATTATCTCAAGTTGGTGCAGGAGCCAGGATGGAAGATGAGCAGTTTTCCGCACTGGAGCCTGTGACCCTGTGGTGCCTACATAATATACCTCGTCTGCTTCTGTCAGAATCCTTTTCTGCTTTGTATTTTGGAAATGATTTTGAGAAGTATTTCTAAGGCATAGATAATTGCTCTTTGTCTTCAGACAGGAAATGAAAATTTTTGTTGCCAAAGCACCTTAGTATAATGTTCCTTGTAGGGAAGTGGTTATAATATACAAAGTTGGGTTCTGTGTGGTAAGTTCCCATTTTTTTTCTCCCATTAAATGCTATTGGTCTTTATCAGAAGCAAGAGTAATAAGAACAGAAACTGTTTCACAGGCACTTTGTTGTATCTTCCCTAATAATAAAGGAAAATAGTTGCAATAAAGGAAGTTGAATTTTGTGTAACAAGTTCCATTGTTTTGTCTCTAAAAATGTCTTCATTACAAGCATTAATAAGACAAAATTTTCTCTCCATGACCTTGTTATATGAAAGAAGGATTATTGCCTATTGAGTCACTTTTAGCTTCCTGCTTCTCCTTAGTCTTGGCAGCATATGGAAGGATGCAATAAAACACAAGCTGCATTATTTTTAATGGCTTTATTTTTCTTTCCTGGTCATAAAGAACTAATATCCAGAAACAAATTATATCATTATATGAATGTGATCTACCAATGTTCTAAGTAATAACAATGTTTTCTTGTATGTTACCCAAGTATAAAATAATGTAGTGCTTTTAAACAGTGTATTTGAAAATCCTGAAGTATGTTTATATTTTATCTATTTGATTTGGATGTATTTGTTGTTATTATTTTACCATGATTCCACAGATTAGAAAAATACAGAAAAAGGTTAGATGACCAGCCTGAGTACTTTTCTGTTTTTCTCTCTGTGGAGACTGGCACACAGCCTTTTAACCGTGCAATGCTCTTCAACGTGGGCTTCAAAGAGGCCATGAAAGACAGCGTGTGGGACTGTGTAATCTTCCACGATGTGGATCATCTACCTGAAAATGACCGAAACTATTACGGATGTGGAGAAATGCCGCGTCATTTCGCAGCAAAGCTGGATAAATACATGTATATGTAAGTGATGTGCAGTACTCCCGACGCTGTACAGTATGCCTGCAGATCTTAACACTGAAACGGCAGAAGTATCATGTGCCTGGGCCTGAGGGGGTCAGGAGACTACAGAGAACTGGCAGCTGCAGCTCGCCCTCCGAGGGGGCCGGGGGCGGCACCCAGCCTCCTTGCGTGAACGCCCTTAGAGGTTCAGTGTGCAGTGATGGAAAGAGAGCCTGGCTCCTGAGGTCAAGCAGACATGGAATGGACTTCGGGTTTCGTCTCCCAGTGGCAGGGCTTGGCTAGTGGCTGGTGTCCTCGGGGTGTCAGCGCTCCTGTGGTGCGGGGAGCGCCCCAGCCTGGCTGCCCCACCCGGGGCACAGCCCCCAGCCCCCTGGCCTCCACCCACACGGGGAGTCTCCATGCACGGAGGGCCCTGCCCTCTGAGGTGAACCTTCTTCCTAAGCCACGACTCTTGCCCTGCCTTTCACACAGAAGAAAGGTTTTCATTCCCGGCTAGAGGGGCCTCGAGAGGTAAACAGTGGTGGGCGGCCTGGCTGTGAGAGGGTCCGAGACCGTGCGGGAGCCTCAGGCCTAACCTGGGGGAGATGGGCGTTCCCGGCAGCGAGGCAGAGGGAAGAGACGGCTTGGAGCGGGGCCTCGCGGCCTCCGCCATGCACTGCCTGCTGCCCACCTGCAGAGCAGAGAGGCGGGAGGTCTGGTGACCTGACCCGGGGGGTCAGCGCTAAACAGGAAAAAGTCCCCTCATTATCGTTAGGAAGAAAGCCATGTCCTTATTACTGCAGAATATGAAGTACAAGTCTGGTGTCACCCTGGAGGAAGCCATTGAGAGTCAGGATCTGGTTCTTAGCACTTCTAGGAACTCAGTTTTGGCTGGCCCCCAAGGGTCCGATTAGAGGCAGGGGAATCGATTTTCACTAAAGAATATAAAGGTCATATAAACTAAGAATTCTAAATTTTTTTACTTGAAAATATAAATTGCTAATGAATAAAATGCTCCTTTTTGTCCAGACTGCTCCCGGGGCTCATAGAGTATCTTGGAAGTTTGAGTTGAAGTTACAGTGTGGCTTAAGGAAGCATGTCAGCAGCTCAGGGAGTGGTGGGCCAGATAGACCTCAGGCCATGGGGTGAGGCCGGATGGACATCCATGTGCCCCAGTGGTGCCCACAGGTGGTGGTGGCTGCTGACCAGCCAGCACAGGCCCCAGATGAGTGTCTCTCTCCCTTTGGACAGTGTAGGACAAACACCACTAGATTTTTGCTAGTTGAGCTTCCATTTTCCCTTCTTTAGTTTATTGTACCTTCATTTGACCTTTCCCCATGCTGGGTATATCTCACTTGATCATTTCTACTTAAGCACAATAAATGGAATTCATCTGCTCACCAGGTCATACATGTCAGTGAACTCACACACGCACATCTACCTCTCTGCTGATCTCACATTTCTCCCACACCACTAGCCTGGGCAAGAATAACCGAACTGGTGTTAACTTCCCAGGCGTAAACTTCCTAAGGTGACCAGGGACACTGTGGCTGCCTTTGGAGTCAGTGTCGCTCTTACACACTCAGGATTGCTGCCTCCTGCCACCTTGGAGGTCCACGTGGGAGCTGCCCCACCCGTGCTCTGCGGCTGCTCTAGGCCCTTCCCCTAGGGAAGGGGCGAGCATCCCCAGGAAAACCAAAGTCTCTCTCCCTTCCTCAGAGGCAGCTTTGCTCCGGCCCTGCGGGTTTCCCACAGCTCTGTTTCTGATGCTACAGCTGTATTTTTTCCCACTGGCCCCCCATCAGCCTGACCCATGGGGGTGCCCGCTCACTACTGCCCCATGGTACGTTTGAGAGAGCAGGCATTTATTCTGGACTGCAAGTCTGGGGCACTGCCTTGACACCAAACACCAGTCTGTAGCTAAATGAACAGCTTAGTTTGACAAAGTTCTTGGAGTAAGGGTTAGGGAAAGATAAGGAAGATAAAACCCAGATTAAAAAATACAGTCATTTCTCAGAGAAAGACATATGCTGTGTGATCTCACATGTGGAATCTAAAAGAAAAAACCTCATAGATAAAGAGAGCAGGCTGGTGGTTACCAGGGATGAGGGGTGTAGGGGTATGCAAAATAGGTGAAGGGGGTCAGGACTTCCAGTTGTAAGTCCTGGGGAGTGATGTACAGCGTGCGGACTGTAGTTGCTGTGCTGTACGTGTGAAAGTTGCTGAGAGAGTGAACCTTAAAAACTCCCATCACAAGAAAAAGAATTTTGTAACTAAGTATGGACAGATGTTAACTAGACTTACTGGGCTGGCCCTTTCACATTGTACACATATATCAAATCATGTTGTACACCTGAAACTAGTACAGTGTTACATGTCTATTGCAGTTTAATTAAAAAGTCTTTTCTCTAAATGTTAGTGCATTAAAAATAAATATATTTGTGAATATCCACAAGTATTTTGAGAGTATAATCCAAACAGATATGATTATTACAGGAATAGGCTGCTAGTCATTTCAAACTTAAATGCTGGGGTTGTCTTTACAAATTTACATTTATCCTGGTCTGTGTAATAAATGGCACATTTATAATCAAGCTCAACTAATTTAGCAAATCATATGAGCTTAACCACATCTGACATTGTATAAACAGCTGTGGCATGTTTCATCAAGTTTACATTGGAGTGAAGATGTTGCACAGTTTTTGAGCTCTGAGTTTTAAGTCTTACAAAGTACTAATACTAAATATTAAATTACAGCTTTGTTTTGTATTTTACATAACACGTTTAGATGTACTTGTTCCACTGGAGTATAAAAATGTTTCTTTCCTGGTGCATATCATATTTCCCAGAATGTGATTTAATCAACACACTTGTCTGTGTGGAAAACACAGGTATACTTCGCAGAGTACATGAGAGACTGAAAACCTGACTGTGTGAGGCAGACTGTCTTGATTTCGGTTTTAGAATGCTGTGTTCTGCTTTCTTTATAGCCTTCCATATAAAGAGTTTTTTGGTGGTGTCAGTGGACTGACCGTGGAACAATTTAGAAAGATCAATGGTTTTCCTAACGCCTTCTGGGGATGGGGAGGAGAAGACGATGACCTTTGGAATAGGTATGTTGAGGTACAAATCGCTGAAGAATAGAATTTCTATAAATTTATATTCGGTAAATTGAACTTTGTTATTCCAAGAATAGATTCTTTGGGGTGGAAAATTTTTGAGGTTCCTAAATCCTATTTTGTGTTTTCTTCTTTCTTCATTAAGAGTGCCTTCTGAAATTACAGTTAGCATATACATTAAAGCCTTCTTTTTTATTTTAAATTGAACTTATGTAATCAATTTTTATGCCAAATTTAATTTTTTTATATTTTTATTTCCATAAATACTGTATTTGTAGAGTTCACTATGCTGGATTTAATGTCACAAGACCAGAGGGAGACTTGGGAAAATATAAGTCTATTCCTCATCACCATCGAGGTGAAGTCCAGTTTTTAGGACGGTAAGTGTAATATTGTCTTCAGATATAACAAGGTTTCAAAATAATGGATGAAAGAGTTTTTAAAAAGCATTGCACCATTGCACCCCCCAAAAAAGTCTTCTGAAGGGAATTTTCTGTTGATAGCATTTTCCTTTATAGAAGTGAAACATTTTTGTGCTTTTTAAAAGAGATAATACATGTACATATGTATTTGTGTTACATTAAAGAGGCATTCTTTATATAAAAAGTGCTTCCTTAACATAAAAATATTACTTTATAAAACAATAACGTAAAACATTTTATTTCTTAAGGATGTTTAAGTTGTAAGCATGCCAAATAATTTTTTCAGCTGGCATTTTAAGAGTAGCAAACTTGCTATTTTAAAATAATGGTTTAGGAAATTTTTAAATTTTGCATGAAAAACAAAAATTGTAAAGAGCTTTAAATACCTTAATTATAAGAATAACCTTGAGCATATTCCTCATCAGGTCTTCTTTTTGAACATGATCCTGTTACTTTTCCTTTTTTACTCTAACACTACAGGTATAAATTACTAAGATATTCAAAAGAACGTCAGTACATCGATGGGTTAAACAATTTAATATATACGCCAAAAATACTCATTGATAGGTTGTATACAAATATATCTGTACACCTCATGCCAGAGTTAGCCCTGATTGAAGACTATTAAAAGAAGCTGCTCTCTCGGCCTACGGACCACAATGCCGGGTCACGGATGGGAGCGTATTCTCTGCGGAGGCAGGAAGGGGTGTGCCCGGTGCCCTGCTCTGGGCAAAGAGCCAGCAGCCCGCAGTGTTGCCCGTGGGATTGTGTCCAGCCAGCCCTTTCCCACCCATCACCCATCCTCTGCCCTGAGACACACCCCATGATGAGCACTGCAGAGACTAGAGGTCACCGCTGAAGTTGGGAAGTTAAGAGAGCTCCTTGCAAAGAGAAAATTTTTATACTAAAGTCTAATTTAATTCAAGAGAATGCTTTATTTCTGTTTAAACATTTTGTACATATGTGATGTAAATTAATGTGTTCAATTTGTGAATATCCACAAGTATTTTGAGAGTATAATCCAAACAGATATGATTATTACAGGAATAGGCTGCTAGTCATTTCAAACTTAAATGCTGGGGTTGTCTTTACAAATTTACATTTATCCTGGTCTGTGTAATAAATGGCACATTTATAATCAAGCTCAACTAATTTAGCAAATCATATGAGCTTAACCACATCTGACATTGTATAAACAGCTGTGGCATGTTTCATCAAGTTTACATTGGAGTGAAGATGTTGCACAGTTTTTGAGCTCTGAGTTTTAAGTCTTACAAAGTACTAATACTAAATATTAAATTACAGCTTTGTTTTGTATTTTACATAACACGTTTAGATGTACTTGTTCCACTGGAGTATAAAAATGTTTCTTTCCTGGTGCATATCATATTTCCCAGAATGTGATTTAATCAACACACTTGTCTGTGTGGAAAACACAGGTATACTTCGCAGAGTACATGAGAGACTGAAAACCTGACTGTGTGAGGCAGACTGTCTTGATTTCGGTTTTAGAATGCTGTGTTCTGCTTTCTTTATAGCCTTCCATATAAAGAGTTTTTTGGTGGTGTCAGTGGACTGACCGTGGAACAATTTAGAAAGATCAATGGTTTTCCTAACGCCTTCTGGGGATGGGGAGGAGAAGACGATGACCTTTGGAATAGGTATGTTGAGGTACAAATCGCTGAAGAATAGAATTTCTATAAATTTATATTCGGTAAATTGAACTTTGTTATTCCAAGAATAGATTCTTTGGGGTGGAAAATTTTTGAGGTTCCTAAATCCTATTTTGTGTTTTCTTCTTTCTTCATTAAGAGTGCCTTCTGAAATTACAGTTAGCATATACATTAAAGCCTTCTTTTTTATTTTAAATTGAACTTATGTAATCAATTTTTATGCCAAATTTAATTTTTTTATATTTTTATTTCCATAAATACTGTATTTGTAGAGTTCACTATGCTGGATTTAATGTCACAAGACCAGAGGGAGACTTGGGAAAATATAAGTCTATTCCTCATCACCATCGAGGTGAAGTCCAGTTTTTAGGACGGTAAGTGTAATATTGTCTTCAGATATAACAAGGTTTCAAAATAATGGATGAAAGAGTTTTTAAAAAGCATTGCACCATTGCACCCCCCAAAAAAGTCTTCTGAAGGGAATTTTCTGTTGATAGCATTTTCCTTTATAGAAGTGAAACATTTTTGTGCTTTTTAAAAGAGATAATACATGTACATATGTATTTGTGTTACATTAAAGAGGCATTCTTTATATAAAAAGTGCTTCCTTAACATAAAAATATTACTTTATAAAACAATAACGTAAAACATTTTATTTCTTAAGGATGTTTAAGTTGTAAGCATGCCAAATAATTTTTTCAGCTGGCATTTTAAGAGTAGCAAACTTGCTATTTTAAAATAATGGTTTAGGAAATTTTTAAATTTTGCATGAAAAACAAAAATTGTAAAGAGCTTTAAATACCTTAATTATAAGAATAACCTTGAGCATATTCCTCATCAGGTCTTCTTTTTGAACATGATCCTGTTACTTTTCCTTTTTTACTCTAACACTACAGGTATAAATTACTAAGATATTCAAAAGAACGTCAGTACATCGATGGGTTAAACAATTTAATATATACGCCAAAAATACTCATTGATAGGTTGTATACAAATATATCTGTACACCTCATGCCAGAGTTAGCCCTGATTGAAGACTATTAAAAGAAGCTGCTCTCTCGGCCTACGGACCACAATGCCGGGTCACGGATGGGAGCGTATTCTCTGCGGAGGCAGGAAGGGGTGTGCCCGGTGCCCTGCTCTGGGCAAAGAGCCAGCAGCCCGCAGTGTTGCCCGTGGGATTGTGTCCAGCCAGCCCTTTCCCACCCATCACCCATCCTCTGCCCTGAGACACACCCCATGATGAGCACTGCAGAGACTAGAGGTCACCGCTGAAGTTGGGAAGTTAAGAGAGCTCCTTGCAAAGAGAAAATTTTTATACTAAAGTCTAATTTAATTCAAGAGAATGCTTTATTTCTGTTTAAACATTTTGTACATATGTGATGTAAATTAATGTGTTCACATTGTTGAAAAATAAGATGTGTTGCAGTTTTGCATGTGATTGGTTATGCCTTTATTGGACTTTCACAGACCATTTTTTACTTGCACGGAAAAAAAAGCACTGTACATTAATGTCCCTGAACAAAGGTTGACCTCTATGTGAAATGAAGAGACTGTCAATGACAGCTCACCCAGGAAACCCTTGTGCTCGTCTGCAGCTTTAGACCTTCAGCCTTTTGTGTGGAAGAAGCCACAGTTTTCTTAGGGTTTTAAAGCATAAGAAGGAAGGGCTTAAACAGCTTTTCTTCCTTCCAGGATTACCTGATTTTTTCCTTGCTTGTGGCCTCATCACATTCGCTAAATCACAACCACATTATTTATGCATATTGCATGAGTATTACCAGGAAAATCTTTAAAGTTGTGATGTGACATGATATAAAGGACCTCTTTATGTTAAAAGTCTTCACGTACTGCTGGTGTTATCAGGGATTTTGTGCCTCAAAAATGTCCCTGAGGTAGTATGTGTTTGTACACTGTAGTTTTTTTTTTTAGTCATAGTGAACAGCACTTTTGTTATTTCTATTTCAGAAGAGCCAAAAAAAATTTCCCTTTAAAAAAATCAAAACAGTTTTTGTAAAAAAGAATAAACTATGGAAAACCCATAAGTACTTAAAATATACAAATGAATTATACTGTTAGATAAGAAATGTTCTATTTTTATGATGATAAATGCTTAGTAGATAAAAACAGATTTTAAGTTTAATTCTCAGACTCAGACTTTCAAGTTTCAAAGGGAACCTTGAATGTTAGCCAGTTTTATTTGAACTGTATGTAATTTTTTTGCTTTTAAGAAATTACATCTCTGGTATTTACTTGAAAATTTTCCTCCCTAAAAGCATAATTGAATAGAACTAAATACATAATCAGTTATTTAAATGCATTGATGTTGTAAAACACTTCTTGGAAACAGGTCTTACCTGGCATCTGGCATATTTACTGTACCTTAAATTTGGATGGGGTTTTCATAGCAAAACAAAAAATATCCTTACTTTAAAACTTATCAATTATAGTTAGCCAAAGATTCCTTAAAGTATCTTGATATTTTCACAAATTTATTACAGAAAGTTACATATTATAAAGTGAATCTTCAACAGTAATGAGCACTAGAACTCTGTAGATGAGAGATGTTTGTATAATATTTGCCTCATGGGTTCTTCACCTGCATCAGGAATGTGGTTACTGGCCTCAGGTTACAGTTATAATTTTGAAGTGTTGTTTCTATGGCGATATTGGTAACACGGATGACCACAGACAAAATCATAAAGTAATTGAAATTCTTATACTTTGAGAAAACCGATAGCTCTCTCTCTCTATGAATACCAAGAAATTTTTTTTCACATTTATTTCTTAGAAGTACTCCCAAAATATCTATCTTTCGTTTTTTTTGGTGATACTCAAAATTATGAAAACAATTTTCCAAAAAGTAAGAAATTTGTTCTTAATTTGTGTATCTGTTCATTTTCTAAGTAATGTAGTTTTTTAATTTGATGAAGTGACATAGTTGGGAGCACTGACATTTGTTGAACACCAATGAGGTAGTAGGGGTGCAGGAGCACAACTGACCCAATAATACTTAAATATTTTAGTTGTGAGAAAATTAGGGCTGTTTCTGAATCTTATTAGGAAAACATTTTTTTTCTTTTTAATGTGAAGCTGCCCACATTTTGGAATCTTTTCATTTTGATTTAAATCTTACAGTTTCAAGAGAATTTGTTTCTACTAGTATCTGTCTTATTTTCCTAGACTGCGTCTAAGAGTGATGGTCTTAGGAATGGGCCATGATTTAAGTTTGGCAGCTTTATTAGAGAACATGTACCTATGGCTCACTCTGTGTCATGTGCGATGCCAGGTAGATACATGTACTGAAAAGTATTTAATTTCTATACAAATCTGGCTGAGCCAGTGAAACCTTTCTGAAGGTATGAACACATCCTCTGATAATGACCTGTTGTATCTCTTAGTTTCAAAGTCATACACACGTGGACATCAAGTATCAGGGGGTGCGGCACCCCGGGGAGCTTACACAGTGCCTTTCAGCCAGAGAAGGAAGGAAGGATTAACTGGCCTGTTCACAGGAAAGGACCGGCAGTGTACACAGCTTTGCCGTGGCGGCATGTCGGATTCACAGTGGAGATGGTCATTTACGTCTTTGCCAAAACTAGGGCTTAATGAATATTTTTTTAAATCTAAATTTAATTTTCTATTTGTATTTTTGTGAAAAATGTGTTCAATAAGAAAACATTTACAATATTATTTAAATAAAAAATTATTTATTAAAAACTAGCTTAGACTCTTCTCCCAGCCAACACATTGATAGCCATTTTAAAACAAAAAGGAAAAATATCCGATACAATCTTCTCCTCTTTAGGGTTCCCTACAAGTGAGAGCAGGTCTTGTGTCATTTTTTGTGACCTTTGTTTGCATCTGTTATATTTCTTTCTGTGCTTTTCAGCCAGATACTGGTACTCTAAGATATATGGCCTTGTGTGTGCAAGCGTGGCACTGACAGGACTAGAATGGCCCCCCAGTGACGTTTGTCAGAACGAGGAAGGGCACCTAATGTCACTGGACTCACTGAGACCGGAGAGGCTTCTACACAAATGCACTGAAAATAAATGCTAGTGATTTCTTGTATTCTCTCTCTCTCTCTCTTTTTTTTTTTTGCTTCTCATGGAAATGTTTGTACTTTTTTATCATTATCTTTTATGAAATATAATGTTCTGAAGATTTTGTGTGACAATGTAATTGTTTTCTCTCAGAACCTTTTTTGGGGTTATCTGGGTTTCTTGGGTGTGTGTGTGTGTGTGTGTGTTTTCCTCAATCTCGGGAATCGCTGATGAACGCCACTAGGCTCTCAGCACAGCCATAAGCTGATCGCGGCGCCTGCCTTTCAGATGGTTTCAGTTAAGTCCATGTCGCAATCCCCTCATAGGTTTTACGTGAGAAGAGATACGGGAATATTTACATTTTTTCATCAAGACAGTTAGTAATTTACTTTGCTGAGGTGAATATTTAAGAAACCACTTTCAGCATAATATATTCCTGCACAGCTTCAGTAAACCAAGCTGGCATGTTGTGGTCCAACAGCCTCCCCAGTCCTCAGGTATCAAGTACTACTGAAGATCTTTTAAGGCAAACGGTCAAATCTCAAAAACATCTCGGGACTCAATTTCTATTTGGGACTAGATTGTGAGATCATGACTTTTATTAACTTAAATTATTTGTGTAATGAACTCAAGTATTAATTTTTATTCATAGTATAAGCCCCCAGGATATTGTCACAAGTAAAGGACACCTCACAAATAAAGCCAGTCATTAAATCATAATCACCTAGTCATTTAAGTTGCACACAGCCATCTAGCTGCACTGGCTGAGTCTGCTTCCAGTTCCTACCTATGACACAAGCCAGCTCAGTTTAAAGATCTTGTATAGGTTTTTTTTGTCCTGCCTTTAACTACATGGGTTTAAGGGTGTCGAGACATTCTGGACCAAAATGGTTTTATTAAGAGAGGCTGTTCCTAAGGAGCATGCACTCTATCGTCCATGGTTTAACTGACTTCAGAAAAGATGATGCTTTATCACTCAAAAGTATTACTACAATTAAAAGGAAAATAGATGGGTTGAAAAATAAAACACACGTTTCTTAACACATTGCTATAACATGTTCTGGCAGACCTGAATGCCATTGCTAATTTAATCTCTCCAATCCCATCAGGTGAAGTCTGTGCTCTGGAGGATCTCTGAGAGGCATCAGACACTGCTTGCCCCCAAGGAGCTTATCGTCTTCTGCGTGTAGGACTGCCACAGGGGGAACGACCGAAAACCCTCATGCGGTCAATGAGGTGCTCAGTGTCTCCGCAGACACTGGGTTTGCATTTCACTAAAGCAATATGAGGAACAGTTTTTCTGCAGGCCTTGCTATAAACGCTACCACTTCAGAAAGGTAGCTGAGATCATTGTTTTTCCGAAAGACACCTTGAAGATTTGCAGCTAACTGTGTAGACTGTGGTGGTTATAGGCAAAGACTCTAAAATCAAGCTTATCAGTTTGAATTCAGAGACCCCATATTATTGGCTCTGAAATTTTAACAAAATTATAAACTTCTGTGGCCCTCAGTTTCCTGATGTCACAGTTGATAGGAATTAAGTGGAGGATCATTGCAGAGAATAAATCAGCTCATTCTAATAGGGCACTTAGCCCTGTGCCAGACACTGAGCAAAAGTTGGCTTATATGAAGTCAGTTGTCAGCTTTAGAGTAACAAGCTTTCCATGCAAGTCGTTTTGGGTCTCTTTTAAGAATGACAATACATTCTTAAATTCTGCTAGGAAATGAAGTCAGTGATTACCTAGACATGTTAAATAGTAAAAATTAGTAAAACTGTTAAAGTGAATAATTAAAATTTGGCAGAAATGGGCATGAGAAGGAATGGAGCCAGTGGGAATCAGGCCCCTTTTCCTCAGGGTTGTGTGGTTTAGATGACATGGAAAGCACCTCTTACATATTTACTTCCCAGAAGGCCTCTCAGCATCATAGCAGAGGGAGTCAGCCTCGGCCCTGGGGCCTGCTTCTCTGCCTGTCCTCTCAGTCTCCCTGCAGACTTGCTTCCTCTGCCTTCCGTTCTGCCTGCCTTCTCTGATCAAGGACTCAGTTCCTCGGACCACTTCCTAGCACTCCTGTGGAATGTTCCCTGATGGTGAAATGTTCTGGCTGCTGCCAGGTATGGGGCTCAACACCCACAAGTGGCTGGTAAACACCTGAAATGGGACCAGTGTGACTAAGGAGCTGGAGTTTTAATTTCATTGAATTTTAAATAACATATTTAGGCACATACAGCAGGTGATCTCTCGCTCCTGCAAAGCTCAACTGCACGTTCTCCTGCGTAGATGCAGCAGACTCCCAAGCCATATCTCTAGCTCCGAATTCTTAGATTCTGACCCACATAATCAGCTTACTAGTTATTTCCACATGCTTGTTCACAGAGACTTAAAACTCAGCATGTCTGAAGCTGAATATCTCGTATCCCCCTTCAGAACCTAGTCCTCCTCCGATATTACCACCCACTTAGTAACTCAGGGACCAGTCTGTGAGTCGCCTTCCCTTTCTCCTCTGTGTGGTCAGCATTAACTGCCTCTTAGTCTCTCTCCAGTCCATATGGTCTTTTGTTTCCACAACTGCCCGATCCTCCCCAGTCTTGTCTTACTGTGAAGGTTTGTCATCTTTGAATCCATCTTTCATATTGCCACAGAAATTGTATCTTTTGTAAACTATCTTGCTTAAAATCTTTCAGTGGCTCCCTGTTGGCTATGGGATAAGGTCCGCGTGTTCTGCTTCTCGCTCCAACTCCGTGATGATTGGACTTATTGCTTCTCCAGGACCAGAACTTCACTGCTTGTCCCTACTGGGCCCTTTCATTCCAGCTGCCTGTGACCTGCTCCCAGGGGCTTCCATCATGCCCCTTTGCCCCTGCAAACCATCTTTCTTACCCTCATCCACTGAGGACCTGCTGTTTATCTCCTAGGACTCCAGAAGCTTTGCTGAAGCCCTCGGGCCAACCCGAGTGAAATTGGCCACTCCCTCCCCTGCACTCCTGCCCTGCAGTCCACAGTTTAGAGCATGCCTTACACTATTACATTTGCTTGTTTGCATATTTTCTTTTTCTCTCAGAGACTATTGGTTCTTGAAGAGCAGTGGTCTGTACTCCCGGCATCTAGCACGGAGTTCAGTGAGTGGATGGTTCTGTCATGGGAACAGTATTTGCTGCCTAACAGGGCAGAGCACTCTAAGTTACTGTCCCATTAATGCACATGTCATATCCACTTACTGAACTGCGTCAAGTAAGACCAGTGCCTTAATTATGACTCTAATGGGCCATCATAAGCATTTGACCTGCTTACAAATACATCTGAATAGAGTCAGGCTTGTCTTTTTACTCAACGTATTTTTAAAATTTACTGAGCTTTAAAATTTTAATATAGATGTGTCTGTAAAAGAAAACCAGAAGTATTCACCATTGAGAAAATTTGTGTTAAAAAAGAAATCAAACATGGCAAGTGAAAGTCATCCTAAATGGCACAAGATGTGCTTAGCGTCTAAGAGGCCGTGCCTGTCGGACGCCTGTTTACTGACCAAAGCGAAGATGTTCCTTTTCCTCTAGAATAGTTTCCATCTGAGGTAGTTAAAAAACACATTCAGTTCATTTCCAAGGCTTCTGACTTTCTTTTGTGCACCTCCCTCCCCTTCCTCCCTCCCAACCCCCTCTTTTCCTTCTCTGTTCTTCGCTTCCACCACCGCTGTTAGACTCAGGAAAAATCATGTGGCTTTACTTTTCCTGGCATCTTTATGAAATCCTGTGAGAGTGATTGTTCAGGCAAAACAGGGTTGCTATGGCAATCAGGCTTGGCCTTCATTATCCTTTTGTCCCTTGGCCTTGCATAAATGTCACTTAGTATTGGGTAATGATACAGGCTTTTAACTTTTCCAGCACCTTCTGGCAGCCTTGTTGCTAGTCTCTCCTGCTTGGGTATCTTGGGCTTTTCTTAAGCACCTGCTGTGTCCCAGGCCCTGTGCTGCTCAAGGGTGCTGAGCATGAGTAAGGTGCAGTTCCTTCCCCAGGTGAGCTACACCCTGGTGAGGGCGATGCTCGCCAAGGGCTTCCCAGGGGCCAGACCCCTTTTCCTGCAAATCCGGAGCCCACTTGGAAACCCAAGAAGAAGCTGGGTGAGTCTCAGGCCGCCTGGAAGGGGGGGCAGCCCCCCAGGCTCTGGGGACAGCGGGCCTTCACTTCACCTCTTGGATCTTGGTCGGGTGTGTTCATGGCTGTGGTCTGGCGGTCCATGAGGGAACAGGCCAGAAAGCGTGTATCCCATATTGTCCAACTCTCAGAAAAAGAAAGGGAATGTTCTGTCTGTTGACTGACTGATGTCAGTATAGCGGCCGTGACATTGCCTCTGACTTCAGCATGGGGACGAGGACCGGGTGCACGGGGCACAGGGCTCTCTTTGTGTCACAGCTGCACACGAGTCTACAATTTCCTCAAAATAAAAAACTTTATTAGAAAAGAGGTCCTATCTGGAAGATGATCAACTCCACTCACAAAAAGAGAGAAGCAAATTAAAAGAATATTGAAACACCAATTCTGACCTATCAGATTGGCAGAAATCCCAGTGTTTCGCCAACACTATTAATGAGACTGTGGGAGCCAGGTGCACTCATACAGAGGGCAGCAAAATGTCACCACCCCTAGGAGGGGAATTTAGCAATGGCCAACAGACTCATTAAGGCTTTCACCCTTTGTCTCAGAATTCTTTTCTGTAGGCATCTACCCTTAAGACACATGTCTACAGAGGCTAAACAACATGCTCCTAAATAATCAACAGATCAATGAACAAAATAAAACAAATCAAGCAATACATGGAGACAAATTAAAATGAAAATTCAACCATTCAAAATATGTGGCATGCCACAAAAGCGGTTCTAAGAGGGAAGTACATAGCAAGACAGGCCTGCCTCAAGAAACAAGAACCATCCCAAATAAAGTCTAATCTCACAATTAAAGAAACCAGAAAAAGAGCAAATGAAGCCCAACGGTAGAAGGAGGGACATAATAAAGATCAGAGCAGAAATAAGTAAAATAGAGAAGAATAAAACAATAGAAATAATCAGCAAAACCAAGAGCTGGTGCTTTGAGAAAATAAGTGAAATAGATAACCCCCTAGCCAGACTTACC